TAGTTCCGGGGGACTATGAGCATCTCTCAAAATGTCCTGTAATTGTGGTGGGTCACCTGTCCTCTTGATCAAGGAGCCTGAGGAGACCCCACCAGATGGACTTGAACCAGTGTCGGTCTACAAAGAGGAGGGTCAACACAGGGGAACCATTTTCTCCATGCTTCCAAGCAAAGCCAACCATGGTCTAGCAGGACCTTTGACTTATCTTCACATAGGCAGAACTGGTAAAAGAAGAGCCAAGGGCTCCTCCCAAGCCCATGTGACCCATGAGGAACAGATCCTCAAACGACCTTAAGAGTAAAAATAAGTTGGTTTATCTTGGCCACCTGTATGGCCTTAAACGCCCAAAAGGAAAGCGTTACCAATGATTAAAGGGGCCAATATAATTTTTTAAGAGTCCATATGCATAGCCAAAGGCTACATAACAAGCAACAATGCCAGACAGGAGATACCTTCTTTTGAGTTGTTGGCCAGGGTGGCCAAAGGGATTCCCAGATAGTAACCCAGCATAGAACTGGGAAATTTAACAGCAGACCCCAATCTTATCCAAGGGACTATTGACAACAGATTACCACTAGATAAGGAACAGCTGACCCTCCTAAAACAAAGACCTCTAGATAGGCTGACTAGATTCACCAGATGGACAAGTAGTGGGGAATGGCTGGGGTGCCGACAACACAGCAGACAGTAGCAGGGATATCAGAGTGTAAGGGCTCTAGTGGGGGAGGGAGGCTATGAGGGGGTTCCTTCTGGGAAGTGGGTGTATAGTTGAGTAAGATGGTTTGGGATGTTCTGTGTGATACACACACACACACACACAAAGAAAAAATCAACAAATTAAAAAAAATGTATTATATTTGAGGAGGAAGCATGGAAATTTATGTCATGTTAATTAGTAAAGGTGATAAACATTACCATTGAAATCTACCCAATGACTTTATCGATATACACAAGTGCCAAGGATCCAAGTGCAACCGATTATGACTAGTAATAATCAGATACTTTCAGATTAGAGATGCAGGCACCAACATCTCAGTGTTAGTAGCAAAAACAATGAGTCTTCCTGCAAGGAACAATATATTCTAAAATGAAATGGAGATCTTTTTTAAAGATTAAAAACTCATTCAGTTTTATCTCTTAAAGGGCTTATACTGAGTTAACTATTGTATAACTGTATTAATTCAAGTGTGAACCTCGAAACTTACAGCCACTTGTGAAAGAGATGTACTCTTGCTCTGGAGTATTTTACTGAATATGTTAATTATGTAATGAAATGCTTCTTCTAATCATGTAGAAAATACATAATGATTAAAAAAAATAAAAAGAAAAGAGTATGGACCTCTCTGGTGATAATTTTGTTATATACTTAGTATGTTTATGATTGTAATCTCTTTCTGGAAAATTTACTGTTATTTTTTATGAAATATCTCCTGATATTCTTTGTGTTAAAATCAACTTTCTCGCTGGGTGTGGTGGCACACGCCTTTAATCCCAGCATTTGGGGGGCAGAGGCAGGTGGATCTCTCTCTGTGAGTTCAAGGCCAGCAACAAGTTACAGGCCAACTGGGGCTACAGGGAGACCCTGTCTCAAAAAAACCAAAAAAAAAAAAAAAAGTAAAAATCAACTTTCTGTTTTTATTAATTTAGTCATGCCAACCTTGATATGCATTTTTAATTTTTTTATTTTTTGAAATAATGGTCTTGCTAAATTCCCAAATACTAGAATTATAGCCATGTTTTTGTATTTGGCTTCATGTGCATTTTCTTAGTATTTTCTTTTTAATCTACTTTCTTTTAGGCTAGTGAAAGTAAAGTGCATTTTGTGCAGATAGCTTATATTTAGATATTAATTTATTTTGATAATCTCTGCCTTTTAATTATAGTACTGAGTCTATAAGTACTCGATGCAATTTTTTGTGATTGGATTTAGGTCTGCCAATTTATTTTCTGTGTGACCCTCTTTCTTTTTGTTGGTTTTTGTTCCTCTGTCTTTTTTTTCTTGCCTTTTAACTGTGTCTTTCCTACGTGTTAACATCCACATATCTTATAAGCTCAACAATATAGTATTGTAGGGTTTCCTCTTAAAAGTCATATTTGAAAAAAGATTAAGGGAGCCAGGTATGGTAGTGTATACCTTTAATCCCAGTATCCCAGTGCTCTGGAGGCTAAGGCAGGAAGAACAGGGGGAGTTCAAGGCCATCTTTCACCTGGTTTACATGATGATACCCTGTCTCAATGAAAAAATAGAAACACAACAAGAACAACAAAATCTAAACCTAAATTAAAAAGTGAAAAAAATAATGGGGAATAATAATCTTGGACTTAACATTTCTGGGTCCCTTCATTGCCTCCTGAAGTTTGTTTGTGATCATTTCTCTTTAGCTTTAAGATTTTCTTTAGTATTTTTGTTGTGCAAGTTTTTTGAACAAGTTTTATTTAAAGTCTTTGTTTCATCTTTGTTTTTTTTTTTTTTTTTATTTTTTGAAACAGTGTCTCCTATACCCCCAACTGACCTGGAACTCACTATGTAGACCAGGCTGGCCTCGAACTCACAGAGATCTGCCTGCCTCTGCCTCCAAGTGCTGGGATTAAAGGCATGTAGCACCACACCTGGCCATCTGTATTCTTTTTAAAAATATTTTTATCATTATTTTTTATCTTATGTATATGAGTATTGCCTGTATGTATGTAAGTGCACCTTTGTTGTGCAGTGCCCACAGAGGTCAGAAGAGGGCATCGGATCCCCTGGAACTGGACTTACAGATGGTTGTTAGGTACCATGTGGGTGCTGGGAACGGAACCTGGGTCCTCTTACGTAAGAGGAGCCAGTGATCTCAACCACTCAGCCATCTCTCCAGCTCTTTATCTTTATTCTTATTATCCTTTATGCATTAAATTGTCTAGGTGACAATTTTTTGTTTGTTTGGTCAGGATTTAAAATTGTTGGTTTTCTGGAGATTTTATTATCTATGCCATCTTGGGTTTCCATTGATTGCTTTTCTCTTTAGCATGGGCCATGCCTTTTCACTTTATTTGCATCTCTACTAGTTTTCTTTTCCATCTGAACATTGTAGGGGATATTTTGTGAGACTGGATTCTGTTAAGTCTTCTGTAGTGCATTGATGTTTTGTTTTAGTAGGTAGTCAACTTAATAAATCATACTCCATACCCCATCTCTGTTTGGGATGGGTGTGTTCAGTTCTTTTAGGTTTAGCCAGCCTGCTTTTGGACCTGGCCTGTGTGTGCATTTTATCAGGTGCCAGCCCAAGTTTTTGGCAGAATCTGACTCAGTTTTAAGGGCCTTCTCCCCTCATTTTGCAGTTCTGGTTCACACAAGCAAGGTTATAGGATTTCTGTTGGTAGGGGACAGTCAGAAGAGAGAAATGATTCATTGCCACTTCTAATCTTTTGGAATAGCAAAGCCTTCTCCAGTGTTAGCATGCTCTGTAGGGCTGATGTTCTACTCAGAGTTTACAGGTATCATACCTGGGATAGCTGGTCTGATCAAAGTTATTCACTCATTAGAAGCAGGATCCTAGACTTTAGTTGTATAAAAAATTGTAGCCACTCTCACATCCATTTTTTGACTTTGGTTTGCTTCTTATTGATGATGTTCAGAGTTTATTCTGTACTTTCTTTCTTCTTGAAATTTAGGGTATTTTCCTATCCCCAGCTTTCTCATTCATCTTTCTGTTCAGCGGGAGCTCGAGAGTTACTAGTTTAGTTATTATAGGTCAGGAGACTTAAACTTGTCTCATTTGGGATTCTGATCCTGCTGCTATTTTTGGATATGGTCTTTCCTTGCAGAAGACCCAGGGCATATCTGAGTTACATTGCCACTCTTGGTCATAGCAAAGGAGGCCGCCAGGCCTATATTTCTTCCAGTCATGTGTCTGGTTCTAGGCATTAGTTTTTGTGAGGGAGGAAAGCATATGGGTTTTTGTTTTGTTTTGTTTTGTTTTGTTTTGTTTTGTTAGCATACAGTTTGAAATTTGTTTATTTTAGGGGCTTTTCATTTCCATCAACACAAGAAGCATTCCCATTGTCATGTTCTGAAATATGTTGTAGAAATCCCCATCTTCAAAGATACCCTAGAGTCATTGCATTCAATAATCTTTCTCTCTAATCTCTTCCCCCTTATATGAAACCATGTCAATTTGTAGGTAAAACGTAGTCTAGTTGAAGATTACCTGGAAAAACTAAATAAAGCTGAGGAAAAGATCCAGCTAATGAAACAAGAGTTCAAAAAAAAGGAAGCAGAGTGGGAACTTTCACATAAGGACCTAAAGAGAGAAGCTGAAGAGAGATTAACCTCCATGCTCCTCGAGCTGAGAGAAAAGGCTGAGTCTGAGAAGCAGACCTTAATAAACAGGTTTGAGCTTCGGGAGTCTGGCATGAGGCACCTTCAGGACCAGCAAGCTGCCCAGATCCTGGACCTGGAGAGATCTCTAATGGAGCAGCAGGGCCGCCTACGGCAGCTGGAACAAGAACTCACTGGGGATGAGTCTCTGCCCTGTGGCCAGTGTGGCCAGGAGCCCCTTGTGGCCCAGGATGGGGAGCACACTCTGCTCCTCCGTGAGAAGGAGGACTATGCCCTCCAGCTGATGTTGGCCCGGAACAGGTAGGTTGATGCTATGGAATGATGGGTGGTGTGGAGCCACCTGCCCAAAGTGCTGGCAGAGGCTAAGAGGTACCCAGGAGGATGTGGAGTGGGGCTTGACTGAACAGAAAATCTGGAAGGAGGTGGAACAAGGTGTGATATACTGTGATTTCACACTTAAACCACGAGGGAAGCCTTATGTTTCATGATAGATATGCTGAGAGTAGCATAGTAATGTCCTTTATGGAGCTTGAATGCCATGTGTGACCATGAGTGTGTATGCATCTCTATTCTTATTTTAGTATTACTAGTAGTAGTAGTAGCAGTAGTGAAAAAGGGTTTTGTTTGACACCCAAGCTTGTCTTAAATGTGCAGTAAAGTTTTTTTTAGCCTCAGCCTCCTGAATGCAGTGATTATAGGTATACTGTCACCATACCTGAGTTTTGTTTTGTTTTTGAGATGAGTCTTCTTGTATTGGTTTTGATGGGCTCATACTGTCCATATAACCCAGGCTGGACTACAGCTCGTAATCCTCCTGCCTTCATCTTCTGCATGCTATGATTATAGGTATGTACACTATGTTCATTTATATTTCTATTATTATTATTATTATTTTTTTGGAGACAGGGTCTCTGTGTAGCTACTGCTGGCCTAGAACTCAGAGAGGTCTGCCTGCCTCTGCTACCCATGTGCTAGGATTAAAAGTGTGTACCACCATGCCTCACTTGTGGGTCTCTTTAACTTTAAACTTTTTTTTTTAAATTCCAAAGAGAGGCATTTTTTAACATATTTTCCAGAAATAACTTGAAGCAGGTAACATAAAAATATATATATACAATGAAGTTTAGGGGGGAAAAAATAAGAATAAGAAATCAAATACCAAAAGGTTTGTCAACATGGGATCAACTTTGGTGGAATAATGAAGGTTTCCATTATCTCTGTTCTTTTTTAAAAAAATCCTAATGAGTTTATTGGTCTTGCTAACAGAGCATATTTATTTACAGAGGAGTGCCCCCCCCCCCATTTACAGCTGTGCTGGAAAGTCCACACTCAAATATAGATTCTCTGACTTCCCAACAGCTTCACAAAATGTCCAGAGGTACCTCATGGCGTTCTCAGTTTATATAACCTTAGCCCCTTCCTCACATGCAGCTAAGATTGACTGGTTGGGTGGGAGGGGTAACTGACTCCCCCACTGACTCCTTGACTAGCGTGGGAAGGAGGTGTGAATATAGCTTCTTGGCATAGTGGTCAGAGGACACTTCCAGTTGACACTCCACCCCTTCCTCTGTCTTTTACATTCATTTTACCAGCCTCTTCCACAAAAGTCCCTGAGCAGGCTTGGAGGGGGTGATAGGTATAGGATGATCTTCCTCCCATTGTGGCAAGGTGTGGAACTTTCAGGTCTCTGCATCATCTATTTTCCATGGGCTGTTGGCCCTTTTCAGTGGGATTCCATCTAAAAATAAAAGCTTAGGCACAGAAGGAAACCTACAGGGATGGAAGAAAGCCCTGCCAGAAGCCATACAGTTATTAAATGAAAATCCCAGTGCCAGAGGTGAGTTGCTCCCCTATGAGCTGTTGGCCAGAGGGGCCCTAAAGTCCCCCAAACAATAAAGGCCATTGCCAATAATGTTGGTTGTACACCGGAAGTACACGGTAAAACCCTATTGCTGAAGACACCTCATGTTGTGAGTGTGGGAGAGGAGGAAATCAAGCTTAGACTAAGCTGGAAACTCCCTGCCACTGAATGGGTAGCTTTCATAGTGCCAGAAGGTGACATGCATTGCAGCCCGTGGCTGGGGGAGAACTGTCTTTCCATTCTTTGTTTCCACATTTTAAAATTCCTTTGACATACAATCTTAAACTTCACTTTTTTTTTTTTTTTGGAAAAAAAAAATTCTGCTATAATTTTGCTCAATGACAGACCCTGCATGCTGCTCTTTCAACATGCCATACGAAATGTTCCAACTGGTGCTAGTGGCACGTCTAGTGTATGTACAACCAGCAAATTTTCGATTGGATATAATACCCGCCCCTAGGGGTAGAACACACATCTGGTACTGTAGACAGGCCAACCCCCGGTGGCAGAGGAGGGATATAGGCCCTAGTGAGGAAGCCACTGCAATTGTTTTGTTAGATGGATGTAATGCACCTGCTAAAGTACTGTCCAAGCATTTGTGTTTATGCCCATAGGTTGTTGTAGCAACTACTGTTTAGATGAACTTAAATGTACCTCTGTGAAAATAAACATTTAAAGTTTTAGATTTAGAACATAACCAGATTCTTAACCTCCCTTAGTGCCAGCCCTTTTGCAGACTTCGATCCTCAGGCTATAGAGGCCAAGGTATACGTACTGTGGGGCAGTTGAACCTACTGGTGGCTTGACCCTACCTTGTTCTGTACCCTCCCCAGCTTATCAGAATCAGGGATGCTCAGGAATTCCTGGCTTGAGAATTTGAGTTCAGATACAGACCTATTATGTTGGAGCCAAATATACAATTCCACAGGACTGATCTGGTCCTGCCTCTCAGAAGGCATTGAGTGAGGTAATTTGTGGAAGACCCATAACTAAGTTGTACACAGAAAATCAAAGTCCTTGGGGTTAGGAAATTGTTTGGTGCGTAAGAGAGCTTGCTTTGAAAGCATGATGATCTGAGTTTTAATCTTGAGCCCCATGTAAAAGCTGGGCATAGTTCCACATACATGTAACTCCAGTGCTGGGGACAGATAGATTGTAGAAGGTCACTGGCCAGTTTTCTTAGCCATAACTGCATGCTTCAGGTTCAGTGGGTGCAGAGAAGTTATGAGGTGCAGAGAAGTCTGGTGGTAGCACCTGTTGCAAATGACTTGTTGAGCCTGATTGGTGTGGTCTGGTAGAGATGTATATGTAGTTTTCCTATGGGTGCTGTGTCTTCTCTGTAGTATAAGATCTGGTGACTCCTGAGTTGCTCTTGCCCCTGAGTTCCTCAGGCTTTGTGTGGCTCCTAAGCTTGCCTTGAGGAAGGTTTAGGACCAGGGCCCAGGCAGCTTCCCGTAGGAAGTATATTCTGTGACTTAGAGAGGATGAATACAGTGCCATGTACCCTGTTGCCTGTGTTCCCCGTCAGGTTTTTGGAAGAGCGTAAAGAGATCATGGAGAAGTTTGCCAAGGAACAAGATACCTTCCTGCGAGATGCCCAAGAGAAGCACTCCTGTGAGCTCCAGTTCTTGCATCAAGAACACCAGCAGCAGCTTTTGTCTTTGAGAACAGAGCTTGAGACTAAGCACCAGTCTGAGCTTGCTGAGCAGAGGGCCTCACTGGAGAGCAAGCAGCAGGTACTCCTTGAGACTCACGTGACTGAACTTCAGGTGAAACATGCGGCTGAAATCAGTGCTTTGGAGATGAGACATTTGTCAAATTTGGATGCTCTGGAATCCTGTTACCTGGCAGACATTCAGACTATTCGGGATGAGCACAGAAGGGCTCTGGAGCTTTTGAGGTCAGAGCTTGAGGAACAGCTGCAGAAAAAGAACTCTACTCACAAAGAGTTTTTGACCCAGGAGTTGGAAAAACTTAAGCTGAAACATGATGAGGAGCTTCAGTCTGCAAAGAATAGCCTGAGAATTGAAATGAGTCCTAAACATACACAGACGCTCCAAGCCCTAGTGACTCACTTGCAAGGTGCACACCAGGTGAGATACCAGGGCCCCTTGCTCTGACTTGGGGGAAATTTCCCTATTACTCATGTGTATTGACCATGTTATGTGTGTCTGTGTGGCCATTTGTGGGCAGGTATTTGTGTGTTTGTCTGCACATCTGATGTCTGAATTGTGTGCCTATGTCTCTTGTGCCTATGTGTCTGTGCCTCTGTGTGTACTGGCATTTGTTTTTCTGTGCATGTGTGTATGTGCCTCACAGATGGCTGACAGCAGTGGTAGCTTTTGGTTTCCCTGCAGATGATACAGAACAATGAGTTGGTTGTTTGGGGCACGATTTATATGTATATTCATTGGTCTTTCGAGGTTTTAGGAGCTCCCTGAGGCTGACCTGAGCCTCTGCCTTGAGATACAGTTTCGACACTGCAATAGATAGCCATGGTTTTTATGTTTGTACGTGCAGAGCATTAGTCTCCTTTTTATTGATAGCTCCTGAAATTCAATACTTTTCTCATATTTCTTTGTTTGTTTGTTTGTTGTTTGTTTTAGGGGGTTTTGTTTTCTTTTGATTGTTTGTTTGTTTGTTTTAAATAGGGTCTCCCTAGTTCTAGCCCACCTGGAAGTCACTATGTGGATCAGGCTGGCCTCAATCTCACTAGGATCTTCCTGCCTCTGCCTCCTGAGGGCTGAGATTAAAGATGTGTGCCACCATGCCCAGCACTTTTCTCATGTTTCAAGACCAGTGATGGTTCTTTTGGCAGACACTTGAGGTTTTTGGTATAAGAGGAGACTTTTGGCAAACTCAACAGTTGGCTAGCACTAGTTTGTGGCCTCAGGAGCTTCTGATCATAAATAAGCCACATTTATTGGATTAAATCCCATTTTACTTTGGATACTTCATACTTCCTTTGCCCTTCCTAGACTCTGGGATTTTTATCTTCCTGAAATGGGTGAGGCTGCTCTGTGGTAATACATGGAGCAGCTGGGAATGCTGGGCCATGAAGGGTGTATCCATGCTAGCATCTAGATTGGTCCAGAGAAGATGGGGCCATTGTACCTCTCTGGAATTATTTGGAGAACTGTCTGATACTGCTGGGAGATCTTCAGATGGGTCCTGCACTCTGGAACTACAACCTTGGTATTAGTGGCTTTCTACAAATCAGCACAAGAAAGGAATGCCACTTATTCCCAGTCCACAGATCTGAACCTGTAGATCATCTTGATTCATTTGGTTTAAGGAAAATTAATAATATTTAGAAAACAGAGGCATGTATATCACATAGGAAAACACGTTTTTAATTTATATTTTTATTTTATGTGTATTTGTGTATTGCCCGCGTGTATGTAAATGCACCCATACCATGCAATGCCCAAGGAGGACATAAGAGGGCACCAGATCCCCTGGAACTGGATTTAAGGACAGTTGTTAGCTGCCATGTGGGTGTTGGGATTCGAACCTGGGTCTTCTGTGAGAAAAGCCAGTGTTCTTTACCACTGAGCCATCTTTCCAACCCTGAAAACATGTTTTTAAACCATGACTTAACTTCATTGGTGGCAGAATTTATTTTAGGAAGCACATGAAATGTTCTCTGTTTCATGCACATGACAAGACATGGGTAGAACACAGTGCCTAGGATGGGCATTCTAGGGTTTACCTGGGGCGTAACAGCTGTGGGTGGTCTCTTGGCAGAAGGAACTGGCCACAGCCCGGCATGATCAAAGGCTAGAAGAGGATAGGGGCACAGCCTTGGATAGTTTGGGTGCCAAGGTAGTGCTGCCAGAGTGCCCACATAAAGCTGTGCTGCAGGAGCTGGGAGACCCACAAACACCTGAGGAGCAGAAGCCACGAAAAGAACTGGCCAAGCCCCAGGAGCTGCAGGCATCACAGGAACAGGCTGCACAGGTGAGCATTCCCATGTGAAGTCCCAAAGGGACTTTGGTGTTGCTCACAGCTACAAGTTGATGAGTACCATGGAGCTAATGGTCATAGGTGCTAGGGTCTGCTTGAGGTGCTCAGCAGGGAGCAGAGCTTTGTTTGTTTCATTTTGTGTGTGTATGTGTGTGTATGTATGTGTTTGCATATGTGTAGATATACTTGCATGTGTGTTTGTACACACGTATGAAGGCCAGAAATTGGCATTAGGTGTCTTCTTTGATCGCTCTTCACCTTGTGTACTAAGGCAGTCTCTCACTTGAACCCAGAGCTCACTCTTTTAGCTATTCTAGCTAGGCAGCTAGCTCTGGGGGTCTCCTTTGCCTCCTGCATGCTGGAGTTACAGGAGGCTGCCATACCTGCCTGGCCTTTACATGGTTCTGGGGATCTGAACTCCTGTCATCATGCTTACAGCAAGTATTTTACCTGCTGAGCCATCCCCCCAGCCCTAGAAGCAGTGGTTAAGTACCTACTCACTAAGATAAGACAAGTAGGCATCAATTGAAGTGTTGGTGACTGAAAGAGGATGCTGTGGAGCAAGCTTCTGTGCAGGGTTGTGACTGTATCCACACAGAGCGCTAGTGGGTGCTCTTGGAAATCTACACAATATGTTTTTTCTTTAGAATATGTATGTGTCTTGTTAGATTACATGGTACTTTTGTGACAAAGTTTAATTAAGCAAAGGCTTCATCATAGTTTCCCTGTATGCAAGATGCTGTGAGGTCATGGCCCTGGGATGCCCAGTCCTGCCTGCTGGGCCTGCACACATAGGCCCATGTGTAAACACACATGTATACACAGTGCATATGTGCTTGTGCATGCATACACATAGCACACAATATGTGCACATATAATTCTGCATTTTGTTCCTTCAGGCTAGTGGAACCCCTAAAGTTACCTGAGGACCCTAGCTGGGTGTCTGAAGCTCATCTACCTGAGCGTTCTTAGATTTATTGTCTCATGATCTGGGGGTGAAAAGAGAAGAGTCTCTGTGTACAGTGCCTCACAAGTAACTGGATATTTCTGTGAAACCTGCCAATTTATTGAGATGACTCATTTTTCTAAATACTGTCACTCTTAAGATCAGTATCATTTCTGTCTATAAAATAAGGCCCTCAAATTTGCCTAGGTTTGCTAAATTAATAGTTCATCATTACTGTCCACAGTTTGTGATGTGGATTAATTTCTAAGATGAGAATTTATAAACTATTTATTCACAACATTCCCTAATAAATAATTACAAGATACTATAAAAATAAAAGGAAATCCTCTCCTCTTTATTTAAAAATCTGGGAATTGGTCTCTGTATCTTATTCTAAGTGCAACCCTGAAGAGTTATTATTATAAAAATAAAAGTTATTATAAAAAGTTATTATAAAAGTGGTCACCAGAGGGTAAAGATGCCTTCTGCAAGGTGTTACTGAGGTTTGAGACCCAGGTGAGGTCGGGATCCTGTGAGGAGGCCAACCCCATAACTCAGAGGCCAAACTGAGCCCTATATGTTGTGGTTTGTAGATTGGGATACATCAGGTACTGTCCCTCCTGTTTGGAGGTGCTGTTGTGAGCTGCCAGTGTGCTCAGCCCCAGTGCCTTTGTGGTACCCTGCTTTCCTGATGCCAATAGGTAGTTCTCACTCATCCTATTTGTCTATAACACAAGGAACTGTGCTTTCAAAGCTGTGCGTTAGGGTTGTTCTGGAGTGTTGCATGCTTGCTCTTGGGTGATAATGCTGTCAAGTATTGGGGCATTTATTCTAAAACTGTCAAATGCTTGTAACCTTCTGTGGCAACACTGTTCCGTCTTTGGCAACATCTGTGGTGATGCTATTGTGTGCTTGAGTTGAGGGTGCTCTGATCATTTCTAGGTATGATACAGCTTTGCCCTTTCTTCCTTGCCTCAGGATGCTTAGGATTCATGCCCTTTCATGTGTGTGCTTGTGTATGGCTGATTTCAAAGAAAACATGTGGGCTATGATGAGATGGGGTGCTCCTTATTTTATGTTAACTTTAAAAATATCACATTTTTATTTGTGTGTGTGTGTGTGTGTGTGTGTGTGTACACACCAAAGTGTGCATGTCAAAGTCAGAGGACAACTTGCAAAAGTCAGTTCTTTCTTTCTTACATGTGGGCCCTGGGACTCAAACTCAAGTTGTCAGGCTCGGTCAAAAGTACCTTTACCTATTGAGCCATCTCACCAGCCCTGTGTTATTTTTTTTGTGTGTGGGGGGGAATTTTAACATACACAGGAATTGAACATTCCAGTAAGCCACTAATCCCACTGTATAGCAATGTAGACCAGTCTTAGAATATCAGTGGTCCCTGTATAACTTTTCCATGACCCACCCTAACCTGAAAAACCAACAGGAATTCCTTCATTTCATCCCATTTCCAGCCTAAGCCTCTGCCTCTTTCTGGCTATGGTTGTATAAATTAGGATCTGCACAAGGCCTGGTATGTACTAAGTCTTTTTCATTTTCATTTCTGTGTTGATAATCATCATTTCACCCTTGTGTAGATCTTTCTGGGTAAGTCTGTAAGCATGGCTGTCTTGTCATATGTTCAGACTTGCTTTGGTAGTGAGACATTTCCTCTAGTGCCCTTTTAGGCTCTGACAGACATTTCAGAGAAACTCTCAGGGTACTCCTGGAATGCCAGGGCCACTGTCCCAAAATAGCAGGGACATGATGTTCTTGCTATTCCTCATGCTCTGTTGGGCCACAAATATCTTGCACCTGTCTGGAGAGTTTTGTCGCTCAGCAGATTCATTTAATATAATGTTCATGAAGCAGACGGATTACTTTCCAGGTTACTACCCTTTGGAGTTTGGTTGTGAAAAATATTCTCTGAAAACGTAAGCTTGATTTCTTTTTAATGGAAATGTGTTCCATGAAGAAGTCTCCTGGGCTGGTAACACTAAGCATGGACTGTGGTCCAGAAGTGTGCTGCAGGGTGGTTATACAGGGCTGTTTCATATTTTCTTATATAAAAAGCAAACAAGTTGATAGTGTTAAAAGAACTTTGGTCAGCTTAGATGTACTTTGAGAATCTGTGACTCACTGTTAGCACGTCTGTCTTCATTCGCATTCGCGTTCTCTGTACTGCCTTTCTTTTTTGTTCTTTCTTAGGCGTATCTGTGTTTCTAATGACTAACCCATGTGTGATACTTTTCTGTATTTCTGTGGCTGTTTAGAGAAATCTGAGGGTAACTTTTTCTTTCTTTTTTTTTTGAGACAGGGTCTCCCTGTAGCCCCAGCTGGCCTGGAACTCACTTTGTAGACCAGGCTGGCCTTGAACTCACAGAGATCCGCCTGCTTCTGCCTCCTGAGTGCTGGGATTAAAGGCGTGTACCACCATGCCCAGCTTATTAATTTATTTTTTTACTTATTTATGTTTGTGTATGTTTGTGGGTGTGTACGTGAAATGGTACTTATGTGGTGGTCAGACGACAACTTTCAGGAGTTTGATGCTCTCTTTCCACCATTGAAACAGGCACTCTGAACAGAAAATGATACCCAAATGGTTTTGGTTTTTTTTTTTTGTTTGTTTGTTTTTTGTTCTTTTTGAGACAGGGTCTCCCTGTAGTCCCACCTGTCCTGGAACTCACCATGTAGACCAGGCTGGCCTTGAACTCACAGAGATCCACCTGCCTCTGCCTCCCGAGTGCTGGGATTAAAGGCGTGTGCCACCATGCCCAGCTAAGGGTAACTTTTAAAAAACATCATTTATTTTATTTGTTTGTTTATTTATTTATTTATTTATTTATTTATTTATTTATTTTTTGTGTGTATTCATGTGCCACATGTGTGTGGGTGCCTGTGGAAGCCAGAGGGTGTTGGATCTTCTGGAATCAGGGTGAAAGGTGGTTGTAAGCCACCTAATGAGGGTGCTTGGAATTGAATTTAGGCCCTCTAGAAGAACAACAAATGCTCTTAACCACTGAGCCATCTCTCTAGCCCCCCAAACATCATTTATTATATTGACCATACCATTTAGAACACAGCAGATAGTTTATTTCCAGGCTGGAAATAGAAATGACTGACAGACGCCACGGTGTCAAGAGGAGGGGAGGGGGATGCTGCAAGAATGAGACTTCCAATAAGGTATCTAGTCATGTCAGCCATACAGCTGTCTAGAGGCTTGTGAGGTCCCAGCCACAGGCCTGTAAAACTACCTCATCTGCCCCTGAGCATCTCATGGTATCCTTCTATTTGTCCTGCTGCAGGGCACCCCACAACAGTGTGCTAGGGACACAGTGTGCTGGGGAGAGGTTAGGCTGCCTGCTTTGTTATTGCTGCCCTTGACATACCTTATGTGTCTCTATAAACTGCCGTAAAGCCCTTCCTGAGACAGGGAAAGTGAAGAAATACAGTGAGCCAAGTGGGTCCTTCAGCTCTGCTTTGAGGCAACAGGCCCAATGTCTGCCTATGTAGGCCTGGGTTTTGTCAGGCCCCATGCACCACAGTTGGCCTTTCCTATGTGAAATCATTCTACTGTCTCTGTTCATGTTTTGGTCAGTGTCACCAAAGAACAAAGGACCACCAGCTGAATAGGGATGACTGCTGTTTGTGAGGCTATTCTGTTTATTTTAACCTGTTTATCTAGGTGAGCCTTATTAAAAAACACTTTTATTATTTAGGAAGAAGAGTATTTCCCTTTTAAAGCTAAAGAAACATGGGTTTCTGAATATCTTGAATTGCTCCCCCATAGGAGAGAATTTCTTTTTTTTTTTTTAATGTCAGTGCTTTGTCTGTATGCAATGCCCATGGAAGCCAGAAGAGGGCATTGAATCCCCTAGAACTGGAGTTACAGATGGTTGTCAGTTGCTGGGTGGGTGCTGCAAACTGAACTTGGGTCCTCTGGTAGAGCAGCTAGTGCTCTTAACTGCTGAGCCATCTCTCCAGCTGGGGAGAAAATTTCTTAATGTGACCATTTCAGTTGAACTTAGTCACCATGCAGAAGTGGCAGTTGTT